GAGAGCAGCCTCCATCCTGCCTTGCTTACCTGTGTCTGGCTTAGCTGCGCTCCCCGTGAAGCCAGCCGGCACTCTGGGGGAGTCAAGCTGCCAGCTCTTGGCCAGCTGCAGTAATCAGGGTGAAATTTTTGAGCGGTATGTGAAGGCTAATGAATGAAAATCATTTGGTGCTTGTAACAGCAGCGCATCTTCTGAGCCCTCTGTACGAAGCTGTTTGTTCATAACAAATGTTATGACAAGCTGGAGCAGTTCCTCTCCTTTAATCGGAGGAGAGAGTGGCATAACAAGTGCTTTTCTTGCACTTTAATAAAATGATAGCGGCTTATGAGTAAAGTAGGCTTTTAGGGCTGTGTTTATGCTTGTATGGCTGAAGCATTGATGTTCCCTGGATTGGAAATGTCCCTGTTGTCCCGTGCTTAGATGGATGGGCAGGCTGCACTTCACCTTATTTACAGGACAAAACACTCAGGGCTTCAGGGTTTAGAAACTCCTGTGTCAGGCTGGACCCAGACCTGCACTGGAGAAAGCCTGGGCCTTCCTGCGGGGCTGATCCCTGACAAGATGATGAGATGATGAGCCAGGACCAAGCCTGGGCCAGCTCAGGTCCCCAAGGCCAGAGCTGGGTGTGATGCTCCCTCCATACTGCCTGGGGAAACCTGGGGCTCAGCATCGCCTTGTGCTGGGTCCCAGATGTCTCCTGGGACCAGCCAGCAGACCTTGCAGGTGGGCGTTGGTCATGCTCTGAGTGCGGTGCTCAGCGACCACAGTACTGCGTTCATGGAGGAAGGTGTCACGCTGTCCTGAGCAGCTTCAGGAGGATCCTTCTGGGTGCCGGGAGCTCTGAAGGCTCGTGGAAAATTCAGCCACTTCCAGATTTGGTTGGAAATGGAGCTGAACCACATCCTGCTTCTGGTGCTTGAGCCCTTTATTGGATCTAAGCTCAAGTCAAGTGACTGGGAGCAGTAGCCATCTCATAAGCTTCTTATGAGGATGAGCCACTAAAGGAACAAAAGTCTGTGGCACATTAAAGGAGAAGCATATGTCTGGAGGGAGGCCAGCCCAGTCCCTCTTCCCATGATGTCTTAGGCAGGCGAGGCGTTTCCTTGGAGGTCTGCAGATGTTCAGAGGAGATTTCTGCCCTCCCCAGTTTCCTTTTGGAGCAGTGCATGGGCTTTTGTTTTGGGGCTTTGATCCCTTGCTCCTCAGTGACCAGTTCTTCTCACTTTCTTTCCCTCTAGGATCATGGACCGAGACACACAGGGTATGCTCAAGTCTCCAGTGCCCTTCCTTCTAGGGCACAGCCTCTCCAAGGATGGCATGGACTCTTTCAGCAAGCATTTTGAGAGCATCATGGAGTCCCATCGAGCCAAAGGCACATCTTACACCAGCCTGGACTCCATTGACATCCTCTCCTCCCCAGCCCGCACCCATGGGACCTTTTTCACTTTTGACCTCCCAACCCTCACCCCAGAAATACAGGGACAGATCCAAGACAGCGCCAAGCTGATCGAGGAGAACTTTGCTCCTCTGGCTCATTTGGAGCCGGACTCTGGGACCAGTTCAGCCACAGATGCCCCCTGGACGGAGAGGGAGGAGGAGCGGGGGAGACGAAGGAAGGGTGCTCAGCACAGCCCTTGCCACTCAGAGGACAGCTTTGGTACTCGCTTGGCCTCCAACATGAGGTGAGTGACCAAAGTTGCTTGGGCCAGCAAGGCCACCAAGGCTTGGTGTGGAGTCTAACCCCATGCAGCGTGTTTTGCAGCCAGAGCCTAACCTGTGTTGCTGGGGAAGAGGGGAAGGCTCAGGACTGGGTGTGCTGGATTTTCTGTGAAGTGGCTGATCAGGCCAGTGATCGCCATGGTGTTGCGGTAGGCGTGTCTGTGGGAATACATCTCCGTTTTCATCTTTGCCAGCTTTGCTGGTGCTGGAGGGCTGTGAGATTTCCTCCAACCTAGCAAGCAGGGAGTCCAGGACTTCAGTCCCGTGGTGGTTCCCATTGCAGGACAGTCCAGCATCCGTGGTGGCTGTGGGGAGAGGCCAGTCAGAAGTCGAGTACCAGTAGAAATTCAACAGCCTTTCCCTCCTGGAGGCCAAGACTTCCTGATACTGCTGCGTCCCTCACCATCCGAGTAGCAGCCTCCTGCTTCTTGAGGGCAAGAGTCCCATGGTCTTGTACCTATTGTCCTGGCCTCCTGAACCTCCTCAGCCTTGTGTATGTTGGGAGATGGAGGGCAGAGATGAGCACAGCCCACCAGAGGCTCCCTGTACATTGCTCCGAGCCTGCCTGCACCCAGGCTCAGGATGGCTGCCCCATGCCTGAGGAGACCTCGGGTGGAGCGGGCTGGGGGAGCTCAGCCCCACCACTTCCAAACTGCCCTATGTGCGACCATGTCCAGGCTGAGACACTACCTTCCTGCACTCCTCCCCCTTCCAGCAAGGTCTTGGGCTGCACTTGTGACGTGGCAGGTTGGCAGGCCACGTCTTTTCCCTTTTCCAGGGTATGCTCATCTGGAGTGCGGTCGGGTCCGGTCAGGATGTGAGGTCTGGTCCAGTGGTTCAGCTGCAGAGCCAGCGCCTCTCAGAGAACTTGGCGTCTCGGTCATGCCAGCGCTGACCTTCCTGTTTGCATTGCCTCCCTGCAAGGTCACTCTGCTCAGCGGCCTTCTGTGCAATACCAGAGCCTCCTGAATCCCTCGTCCACTTTCTAGGCTTTGGTCTTTTCCACACCAAACTTTTTTGGGTTTGGTCTTTTCCAGACCAAACTTATGTCGCTTCTGGTCATAACCTGCGCCATCCTCGCAGGTTCAGCTTGGGGTGGCCAGGTGGGGATCTGAGCTCTGTGTCCTTTCTGGTGTCTGCAGTCAAGAGAGGAGAGTGGGGTATCGCATCTGCTCTGTGGTCCCTGGATCACTCCAAGGGCATTTTGGGGCAGAGAGGCGCTGGGTTAGGCCTGCCCTTTCTTTGCGGCACTGAAGCCAGGGACATGGTGGCACAGAGGCCAGGCAAGGTTTGTGCAGTAAAACCGGCGATGTCCGAGAGGCACGAGGCAGCAAAGCATGGCAGTATCCAGCCATGATCAGTGCTCTCTGCAGGAAGAATTGGCTTCCTGTTCCTCTGCCAAGGCAAGGGACCGAAACAGAGCACCCTGGAGAAACCGAGAGGATAGTGTCTGACTTACTGTCCACAGGGTGCCACCGTACCAGAGCAACACTGCTGCAGGGGCACGGGGAGGTGTGAGGGTGCAGAGTCACAGCTGGCAGCAGGAACGGCAATAACATGGCTTAATAGAGGTTTTTTTCCTCACTGGTTTATAGCCAGTGGAGCACAGAGCATGCCGGCAGTGCCAAAGGCGTCTGTGGCACTGTCCTCCCCTCCTAGCTCAGGTTTCAGAGCAACACTGGGCTGCGGCGCAGGCCATGGAGGGGTGTTGTGTCCCCCCGAAACTGCCCTGGATCTTTGCTGAGCCCACCTTTGCTGAGCCTCTTGTCTTCTCCTCTCCTCTTCCAGCCCTCACAAGCAGGAGTACCTCTGCTTTGGTGACAGGGGAGCGTGGGGGAAACCCAGCTGCAGCCCTCACTGCACTCCCTGGCCTGGGGACCCCCCGGCTTGGGCTTGCCGTAGCACCATAAGCGCCAGCCTCGCCTTCTGTTACACACATGCACGGAGTCCCAAGCAACTACTTTCCCCATTTAGAAATGATTCCCTTCATTATTGGTAGGTCCCTGCACGGCTCTTCTCTTAGTCCCGTTCAGGCCCCGTTTCTTGCCCATCTCCTGGGCTGTGTGTGATGTTCAGACCCGCCATGCTGCCCCGCAGCAGGTGAGCAGGTGCCCTGGCTCCAGCAGCGGCCTGAAGCGGGGGCTGCAGGAAAGACGGTGAGAAATGAGGCATGGGGGAGCAGGGCCCTGCCGCAGACCCCCGGCTGGCAGCACCCCAGCTCTCTGCTCCCCAACATGGAGCGAGCCTCCCCTTGCAGCCCCTGTGGGCGATGGCGGACAGGGAGGCAGGTGTGGTTGGGATCTGGTGTCTTGTGCGGTGGAGAGGAGTGGAGATTGGGACTGGCAGCATGAGCTAGACCGGGAAGCAGGGAAGGCATGGGATACCGGGTGCTGAGACAGCCCATCATCTGCAGGGTCAGTCCTCAGGCACCAGGGCTTTCTGGCAAGGGAGAGGTGCAAGAAGTTTCCTCTTTTCCCCATCACTGGTGCTACCAACTTTCTAGACTCTGAGTGGAGCCGACCATGAAGCTGAAGCTTCCCAAGTAGTTTGAAGAAGAAGTGTCTGGGTTGGTTGCTCAAAGGTTCTCGTGAGCTGGAGTCAGCAGCTCCTGGAGCCTGGCAGGGCTGATCTGCTTGAGCGGGGAATATCTGTGCGACGCTCCCATTAAGGGGTCTTTAATGGAAATTGCTGGGGAAAGGAGCTCAGGAAGCTCTGCAGCCATCATAACGCAACATCACCCGTGCCAGTGGGGCCAGAGCAGGGGATTTGCCACCACCTATGGTCACAAGCAGTACAGACCGACTGCCACCAGCTCAGGTGGTCTGGGGGCCCTGGCCAGGGGGGCTCTGCAGCGAAGGCTGTGCTTTACGCTGGCTGTCGGCCTCAGGGTTGGCAGAGGTGACCTCAGGCTGCAGGGCTTTGGTGTGAGGGGTGACTGGTGATGAATGCCAGTGGGTCTAGACCTGTGTGTGCTGCCCTGCGGCCGTCCCTCTTGTGCCCCCGAAACCTTTGATGTTATTTGTTGCAATGGTTGGGATCTGGATGGCCCTGCAGCCCGTGACTTTCCATCTCTCTCTCTGGCAGGAGCAGCCAAGCCGGTGATACCCCCTGCATTGCTGGGTAGACGCGGTGTCCCCCGCGGCTGGCAGCCTTGGTTCACGCAGCCTCACGGCTCATGTCAAGGCTGTGGTGTCCCTCGGCACGCGATAGTCTGAGACCACGCTTTTATCTTGACCTTGCACGTGGGGAGTGTGCCTAAGTGGAGACCTGGCGAGGCCTCCCGGGGTACTGGGATGCCTCTGCCTCCTCCGGTGGCCTTGGCTAAAAGGGAGGGAGCATTGGCTGAACAGCAAGGGTCCCCTCCCCACCCCTCCACAGCGCGACAGCCCATGGTGGCACCCCCGGTGCGTGAGTAGGTTCTCGCCCCGTTTGGGCGGGACGTGAAGGTGTGCAGGTCCCCGCTCTCGCTGGGCAGAGGGCTGCAGTTAAAGCAGTCTGTCCCTGGGACGTGATGGTGACCTGCAGAGCACGTGTAGGGGCAGAGCCCTCCAGGGCTGGCGGGGTCCCTCTGGGTCTGGCGGAGCTGGCCGGGGGCAGCTGTGGTGCTGGCGAGATGGCGGGGCAGGAGCCGGGGCAGCCCTGGGGACTGCAGGGAGGTCGATCCTGCGGTGGCAGCCAGACTTTTGCAACTGCGGATCCAAATCCATGGGCTTTGCCGTGCTGCCAGGTGCAAGCGGAAGCCCGGAGCGCCGCCTTGCCTGCCGCAATCCCATACACAGGCAGCCCGGGGCTGCTGGCCCCACAGGCAGGATGGGATGTAAGTGGGCAAATTGCATCTCCCTGGGGGGTGCAAGCCCCCTGAAATCCAGCCACCCAGCTTCCCTTGCCCATTCCCCTCCTCCGGAGCCAGCCTTGGCCCCAGGCACAGCCGTGCTGGTCCCTGAGGAGTGCCAGTGGAGGGAGGGGATGTGACTTGCCCCGCTGTGCCACCCCCGTGAGAGGCGAGCGAGGCAGGCTCTGCCGGGACCTGAATCGGGGGCATCGCCTGAGATGGGACAGAAAGAAGGGCAGGCAGGAGAAGCAGCAGCAAAGGGGGGGGGGGAATGCAAACCACCTGGCGAAAAGAGCCAGACACCACAGTGAGGGGCAGCACGCCCGGAGCCTCGCTAGAGGGAGAGCTCGGCCCTGGAGCTGCGGCTGCA